TTGGCAACCCCCACCTTCTCTATCCCCCCCTCTCCCATGTCCCCCCAGAACCGTCAGTCCCATTGTTCTCTCCTCCTGATTGTACATCCTGCCTGTCTTGCCCAGATAGACATGCATAGACATGTCTGTGCATGCACACAAAAACAAAGCAAAGCAAAACATAACCAAAAAAGAAGACAGAAATAAATCAATAACAGCTAAAAACAAAAAAACGAAAAAAGAAAAACCAAAGCGAAAATGGAAACCCCCTCAAACAGTTCCAGGTGTGTCCGTTGACCTTTATGAGTATTTTCCAGTCAAATCTGGGGTGCCACGTCCTGGCCCCAAAATCCACCTTGGGCGTTCCTTGGGGACTTCATTGCTTTGCTCCCTTTGCTGCTCCACTGTACACCTTTAGTGTTTCATCCCTGTGCAGTGGGGTTAGACGGGGCACATCACCCACACCGTGTCCCCAGTGCTGTCCCCCTTAGCACTATGTGTCCGTGAGGGACATGTCATCGTGTCTCGTGATGGGGCTGGCCCTGTGATCCTCTGTGCATTGGCTGCTCTGAACCAGAATATTGTCCTCAGGGCTGGGTGGGTCAGGGTGTATTCCACTCTCTCCTTCCCTCTTCATTTGCTCCTGATCAGACTCGTCCCACTTCGTGAGCTGCAGCTTCAGTGCTGTCCTCTGAAGTGCATTTCTCTGGGGTGGGGGCTAGGGGGTGCCCACATAGTTGGGATTGGGTTAGAGCCCTGCAGATCTCTCGGTTGGTTCCCTGCTTCATGCCTGTATATTGCATTCATGTCTTAGCCAGGTTGAAGTCCGGTCCCTCTCTCCCTCTCCTGTGGAGATATAAACAACACCCTCCCCTTGGGTGGGTTAGTGCCCTGTTCCCCTGCTGCATGCTTTTTAAAAACCTGCTAGGAAACTAGTCCTGTGAAGAAGAAACAGTTTGTCTTTCTAGACTTCACATTTGCCACTCCCCCTTCCACCTAAATGATTGGTTTGAGTAGAGCCAGTGTGCAAATGTACTATATAGAAACATCTACTTTTCAGACTAAACATAGAATTAAATATTGTAGAAGCTACAGTTTCCTGTTTCATGCCTAAAACTGAGTGGGTAGATGGATGGATGGGTTTAATCATTACAGAATTGAATCTTTAGTCTACTAATGTCACTATGTGTCGGAATTCTCTCTATGACACTGAGCTGAAGAGTGTTACCGTATCACTTTTACTTTAATCATTGCTCAATTCAAAACAGAAGTCTGCAATATTTTGTGTTGAATTGATGTTATGCTTGGGAAGATACGGCATATGGATAGCCAAAATAAAACCACACTTATACACAGTTCCTATTCTTCAGGAACTTTCCTTTTTTGTGTGAAAATGTATGTTTTTATGACAGTTGCATTAGAAAATGTTACTTTTTACATATTTTCCCAAGTAAAGAATTTTTTCAATCAATTTCAATAGGATCTTATTTCTCTAATATTTTTAGATTTTGCTTTAACAGAACACAAACATTTTTTAAAAATCATTTTATTGGGGGCTCATACAACTCTTATAACAATTCATACATACATCCATTGTGTCAAGCACATTTGTACATTTTTTGCCATCATCATTCTCAAAACATTTGATTTCTACTTGAGCCCTTGGTAACAGCTCATTTTTTTTCCCTCCCTCCCCGCTCCCCCCTCCTTCATGAGCCCTTA